CTTATCATCAAACAGCTCAAAAGAGTGACAAAATTTGATTCACAAACCATCAACCGATGCAATTTCATTGCCTGATGGCTTATGAACCAAAAGGTGCAAGTTCAATAAATGCAACAAATAAGACTCTCAAAACCACCTCCGCATCATGACTTGATCAAGGGAAGCGGTTGACGATGAATCTTAAATCGTTTACATCACTAACAATTATGAAATGACTCAAGACTCAAGGGTTCAATTAACGTCCGATTGAACCCAAATCAAGTTATTATCTTGTTCCATTTTAGACCCAATTTTAGTTACTTCATTTTAATTGCCAACCATTCTTTAATTCATTGAGTCCAAAAGTGAGCTTTAAGTCCTTTAAAGGAAGGAAGTGTCAAACCAAGAGTTAGTTTAAGGCATAAGAGAGATGTCATGCCATTGATAATGAACCCCTAAAAGGGATTAAACCATTAAGCACGACAACCTTTATCTCAAGCTTAAAAGAACAATCGGTTTGAAACAACTCTCAAAACAAAGAAAAAGCCAAGAAATGAGGGAGGTTGCAGAGATGATTAAAGGTGATCACAAGTATGAAAAACCATAAATAAACACTATCAACTCAAATACAATGGTGTCTAATGCCTAAAACACCAAGCTTATGAGGACAACTACACCACAAGCATACTATACAATGCTCAAATAAAACTAACACATAAAAAAAGTTCTAAAACAGTCAAAAATAGCACTGAAATTCACATGGAAAAGCTTGAAAAAGTTAGCTAAAATTGTGGGAAAATAGAGCTAGTAAACAAGCACAAGGAGGGGTGGCTAACCCCTCTATTTTTGGGACCTCAAAACAAAATTTTTAACCTCTAAAAACTCTGAAAAACATTGGTAAAAATCTTTAAAAAGTAGATGAAAAGATGGAAAACACAAGGGTAAAAGCCTAGAAGACAAGATTCAAAGAAGGGCAGTCAACCCCTCTACCTTTAATGGCTTTAAACCACAAGCTTTAGCCCATAAAAACAGTTGAAAAACAGTTCCAAAACAGCAAGAAAAGATAGGGAAGAAGTAGTGTAAGGATGCTCAAAATTATACCTTTTGAAGCAAGGTTACTCTTTGTTTCACAAACCCATAAGTTCTCACTCTCAAGGGCCGAAATTTGGACACAATAATCTCAGCAAAGAGAGCTGCAATATTGGTTTAGGAAGTGTAGAGAGTGGGTGTGTAGGTTACAAGATAGTGATAGAGAGAGAATTTCAAGTTTTGGTCCTTAAGCAATTTTTTCTAACCTAAAAACATGAGGAGATGTCGAGTATATATAGAAAAAACAGCCTCTCAGTCGAAAATATCTATATACAATCAGCTGGAGCTTTTGGGAGATAGCTGGCACAAAATATCTGGGCTTTTCACAAGTGGCCGGCAGGCCAGAAGTGGTGGCCTGCCATCCACAAGTAATGGTCTGCCGGCCACAAAAATCTGCTTCTAAGCTGACTTCAAACGGCCAGATCTCCTTCATCCGGACTTGGTTTTAGGTAATTCTTGAGTCTAAATTGAAGTCCCGGAAGTCTACTTTCCAATGGTGGAAGCCTAACATCTAAATTCTAAGTGTCCAAATAGATATTCCTATTTTAGTAAAGATTGCTCATTTCTATCTTAATTGGATGGATGCCTAACTTCAAACGACCATATCTCCATCATCTGGACTTGGCTTTAGGAGATTCTTGAGTCTAAATTGAAGCCCTGGAAGTCCAATTTTCATTGGTGGTGGCCTTACAACTAAAGTCTAAGTATGGAAAGAGATATGCCTAATTTAGTGAAGGCTGCCCAGTTCTCTCTTCATGGTTTCATGCTCAACCATTTCCCCTTCTAGTTTTCGTCCCCCCCCTCCTATTTTCTTCAACTTCAAACCTATCAATAAGAAATTTTTAAAGATTTTTCAAAGAGTTCACCCTTCTTTCATTTATTTCCACTTTGTCCTTACTCAGTTTACCGAAAAGTATAATTTTTAACGAAATGCAAGCCTCAGAATATTGTAGAAACATTTTTACAAATATTTTGAAAGAGAGGGTTTTAAGGTTTAAAATAGTTTTGGTCCAAAAATGGGGTGTAAGGTTGGGATTTAGAAACTCTTTTGCTAAAGAAATTGCTGAAGAAATCGAACATTTGCACAGCGTATCTTTCATTATCAAGTGATCAACCTGAGGCGCCTAAGTCTTAATGACGGTCAAAAATGGGGTGTCTACAATCGGCCACCTCACTCAATCAACCATCACGGTCGGCTACCTCGCTCGGTCGACCACCTCACTTGGTTACCTCGATCGGTCGGCCACATCGCTCGGTCGGCCAGCTTTGCGATCGGCCACCTCGCTCAGCCATCCGCTTGATCGGCCGCCATGACAGTCAGCCACCCTGGCCCTGCCTCCCTCTATGTCCTGGGGGACTACTTCACTCTTTCTTATTTTCTTCGTTGGACTAAAGTTGCACTCGAGAATGGGGAACTACTTATGGGTATAGCCCAAATAGGTGGCCCACTAGGCCGTCCAAATGATTTCTTACCAAACTTAGGCCCATTGACCAAACAAAAAGAAGAGAAGAGCCACATCCTTTCCTCGTGATTTCTGCGACATGACAACACGGCCATAGCTAGTTGCAGATAAGCCATAGACTTACGGCTGATAGGACAGGTTGGTTGACAAGGCACGATAAGGGAAGAGGCCAAAAAGGTATGAAAGAAATCAATATATACAAGTAACTCTCTCTCTCTCTCTCTCTACTTTCACTCTAAGCTTGGATTCCAGCTATTCTCCAATCTAACTTAATCATTGGAGGGTCCTCAAGAAGGAACCCCACCCCCCGGGGCCTTCTTGGTAGACTGGTTGCTGGAATCATTGGGAAGACCAAGTCAGTCGACTCGAAGAGCCACCGGATCTCGTCCGACCCATCTCCAACCGACACAACTGCATCATCAAAAATTGTTAATTGAAATATATATGTCATCACTAAAATTATAATTAACTTAATGATTTATTTATAAAATGAGTCATTTATTTTTATTGAAAATTTAAATAAGCGATATCTAATTTTTAAAATCACAATAAATAAATTATATTTCAAACAAATTTTAATGGTGCATTTGTAATTTAGCCAACGTCATCAAATAACTGTATTTGTTCCAATAGTTCTCATAGAAAAGTCACTACCACTAGCGAACGTGTAAAACTTTAGCTGAACCAGTTAGCGACTCGAAAAAATTCTAGCGTAATGAATTAATTAAATTTCTCAAATATTAGTTTTGAAGTAAATCTTTCTCCATTTGAGCTTATTGACGGCATTTCCTCCGCCAATTTCTTTTAATTATCACTAATTCACAATTTAACCCCGCCTTCTCTCTCACTAATTATAATCAAATGCATGTAGTGTTAAATTTAAAAAATTATTTTATAATTTTGATTTAAAAAATACAGCATATTGTTTTGTTCAAGTAATAATCCGTTTCTAAATTGGAAGACTTGAGTTCATGTCTTAACATTATTTCAAATAGGTTAGAAAAATATTTTTGAGTATTAAGGCCACGTTCATTTGATAGATTAGATTGGATGGGATTGTTAGTGAGAGAATGGATAGTGAAGAGATTGTTAATGTGGGGATTGTTAGTGAGGAGATTAAGTAAAAGTATGTTTGTTTTAATGATAGTATGGGAGATAGTTAGTGATGGGATTGTTAAATTATTTTTATATAAAATAAATAAATAAATAACATGCACCAAATATTAAAACATGCACCTAGGTTAAAAAAAAAAGCCAAATATTAAAACATGCACTTGGGTAAAAAAAAAAAAAAAAAAAACAAACAAAACAAAAAATTAGCTGGCAAACTATTTTGTTGGCCGGCCAACTATGTTTGAGAAGGGAAAAAAAAAAAACACTATGTTGGTTAATCGGGCAGACGATCAGGTAGACCCCTTTTCTTTTTGTTTTCAACACCCTAATCCCATGCTTTTCTCAGTTGAGCTAATCCCCTTACTGAGGGGGATTAGTAAGCCGTTTAGAGTCTGAAGCAGCCTCTCATTTTACCACCAAACACACTGTAAGTGAGACCTAAGCGTTGTTAGTCCAATCCGGCCTCCCAAACTACGTATCAAACATGGCCTAAAATGTCACGTTGGCCCAACACCCTATGCAGCCTTTTGATTTAAAAACTCCCATAAAACGACTTTGTTTCAGTATTTAACCTAGGCCAAAAAAACAAACGAGCGCAAAGCAGTTAAAATATTGCGAAGTTGTTTATCATCTCTTCCTCACGAAAACGCCCTTTAACCACCTTTTTCTTTGAGCAGAATCGGTAATCTCTCTCTCTCTCTCTATCTCTCTCTCTCGGCAATGCCTTAGTTGCTTTTCAACTCGAAACTTTGAATGAACTTGAATCATTTTCTTATTTTTAAATTTTTTTATCGGTTTTACAAAATTGGTTAATAATTCTAAGCTTCATTTTTTTTGGAATTGATTTGCCAACTAATGTTTGAGTCAAATTCTTATGGAAAAAGGAAATTGTAAAAATACAGTTTTGTTATTACCTTTAAGGTTGCGTAAAAAGTACACAATTTCTTTGATTTTCTTAATTCGGATCAAATGGAGGCATGTTTGGATGATTTGGTTGAATATGGAACCTTGAATGGTGGACAGGATTTATTGAGGTAAAATTGTTTTCTTGCCTTTGAACACTTTTTATCTCTATCATCTGTTTGTGGCTTGCTTGTATATGTTAATTTATCATTGTATTTGTAATGTAAAAAATCATATAAACACTCTTAGTTCTTCTTTTTGTGAACCCTTTTGTTGTTGTTCCTTTTATGAGATTTCAATTCATGAATTGTTTCGAAACTTAAATAGAAGAACACAAATTGGTTGTTTGAGCCAAGTCTTTTACAAACTCTTACTCTAACCCATTCTTTCCCTCTTCTTATTTTCAATTTTCTTTCTGGATTAAATAAACCTTGGGTTTATTGTTTGCATTTAATAGTGACAGTGGTGGGGGTGATAGCAATGCAATCATCTTGCCAAAAAAGAAAAGAAATAAAAAAGAAAGACAAGAGTCAGGTATATGCCAGCACCTTTGCAGTGCTTTTTCTCAACCTTCAATTCTAGTATATCATGTATGAGTTAGTTTGTTTGAATATCTTTGTACAGGTGCATGAACAACTTAAGACAAAGAATATTCCAAAGTTGACCAAATCCTAAAAAAGAAAGCTGAAGAAGATAGAGGTCTATGTGCTTGTAGAAATTCAATCTGTTCTTGTTTAAATTTTGTATTTATCAAACTTACAAAGACATTGTTTTTGTACGTGCAGGAGGAGAATGAGAAAGCAATTCTCTTATCGAAGAGCATTGAGACCATGAAGTATGCTCTACCAATTTAGACCTGGGGTATTTGAATTGTTTGTTTCGTTTAGAGTTCATTTAATCCCATGAGTGGCACGGTATTTGATGGATATATTGGTTGGATTATATTTTCAGGAAATACAAAATTTCAGAGGATGCATACTCAGTGACGTGGTCTTCACAAAATATTGGTCAGGTTTGTATAGTTATTATGCTACTCGTTATTATTTAAGACAAAATACCCATCGTTGTTTTTATGAATGGGCCTAACTAACTATTTGTAGGTTGAAACTGTGCATGAAAAACGTAAAAGAGCGTTGCAGTTTTCTAAGTTGGGTTTAGTAGTGCCTCCTAGTGATCAACCTTTCAAGTCTGGTGTTAGTTCTTTGTGTGAAATTGAGCCCAATTTTGGCCTAATCCAGCCCAGGCAAGGCCTTGATAAGAATTACTTTTTGCAACCTGTTATGGAAGAGAGAGAAGTCATAACTGACATTCCTACTTCTTCATTTGGGATATTCCAAAGATTCAGTTTGTAGTAGTAGATTTAGTGCAATTGGTGAATTTGGCGCAATCTTGGCAGTTATGGAAGTTGCCAAAGAGAATAGTCATGCAAACATGCAAGAAGATGCCCAAGATTCTTTGCCCACATCATCCAACTGTGATAGAAGAAAACTTATGAGGTCAATGGTACGCTTCATACGCAGATAGTAGAAAGAAATATATTTATTGTTTATAGTCAAACTCTGGTTATTGTTATTTGTAACTAATATTTATGTTCTTGTTGCCTAATGGGGACTAATGGACAGGATTGGGCGGATGGTAACCCAGAAATGCATAGTAGCAATACGAGCAACCTAGCAGATTGTCCTCTGCAGAGAGTTCCAACTGCTCCAGTTGTGGTTCATGTATCAAGACCAAAAGAGATTGAGAACAAAAGGAAGGATCTTCCAATAGTCATGATGGAACAGGAGATAATAGAAGCTATAAATGAAAACATTATTGTTATTATTTGTGGGGAGACTGGTTGTGGTAAGACCACTCAAGTTCTACAGGTAACCTAGTTGTGTGCTTTCTGTAAACTGCGCTCTAGATTTCAAGATTATTGTTTTCACTACGGCGATGGTCTCAATTTGGGTTTCCTTGTCAGCATATTTCAGTTTCTTTATGAAGCAGGCTTTGGTTCAAACCAATCTAGTATTTCAAGTGGCATTATTGGTGCTACCCAACCACGCTGTGTTGTTGTCCCTGCAACTGCCAAACGAGTGGCCTTTGGGATTGGTTTTCGGCTAGGCAAAGAGGTTGGCTTTCAAGATAGGCATAACTGGAGGATTAGAGATAGTTGCTCCATCAAGTTTATGACTAATGGAATTTTGTTACGAGAAGTGCAGGTTAGCAATATACTGACTAACAACTTATCTCAATAGGACAATGATTCTACCAAAGACTAGACCTAGTCAAGGCGCTTAATGCTAATGTTTTTCCATATGTTTTTCTTTTTAACCATACTTTGTTGTTATTTAATATTGTTGTAAGCTTTCCACCAAATTAAATAAATAAATAAGAAATAGATAAAGTGTTCTCTTAGACAAATTTGAAGCTAGGACATTGTTCTTTCATTTTCGTTTCTTGTTTTGACTGGTTTGGCTGCACCACCTTTTCTTAAAGTAATGGTTATATTAGTAAATTATTTCTTTTCTTTCTTTGAAATATACTTCTGTAAACATTTGTCTTTGTAATGCAGAGTGATTTCTTATTGAAGAAGTACTCGATCATAATTTTGGATAAGGCTCATGAGAGTAGCTTGAACACTGACATACTTATTGGAATGCTTTCTCGCATTATACAACAGTGCCAGGTGAGAGCTACGGAGTAATTTTATTGGTTTAAGATTTTGTAGGTCATAGTTTCGTGGCTTCTTACAATCTAAAGTTACTTTTGAAGAAAAGTTCCTTATATTTTTTTTTCTTTGTATGGTTTATGATCTTGTGAGTGAGGTGACCGACCGACCGAGCGAGGTGTCCCACCGTGGGGTAGCCAACCGAGGTGGCTGACCGTGTGAGGTGGCCAACCAAGTGAGGTGATTGACTGAAGTGGTCGACCGAGCTAGCTGACAAACCGAGGTGGCCGACCGAGCGATGTGACCGACTGTGGGGTAACCAAGCGAGTTGACCGACCATCAAGGTAGACCGTTGAGGTCTTTCAAATGGTGGCCTTCCATGTGGTGGTCTGTCTTATGAAGTGTGTATTTGTTGGTTTTGAGTCTTTAAGACCACTATGTTGTATACTGCGGATGGATGCTTTGGATGGTCGGCTGAGGTCGTCATGCTCAGTGTATGAGGCTGTTTAAACTCAGTCTGGCCGAGATCTCCATGCTCAATTTATGAGGCTTTTTAAACTCAGTCTGGTTGAGTTCTTCATGCTCAATTTATTAGAATTAGATGCTCAGTCTAGCTGAGGCTTCATAAACTCGGTCCGGCCGAGCTCTTCATGCTTAGTTTATGAGGCTTTTTAAACTTAGTCTGGCGAACGTCTTCATGCTCAATTTATGCGGCTTAGATGCTCAGTCTGGCTGAGGCTTCATAAACCCAGTTGGGCCAAGCTCTTTATGCTCAATTTATGCAGCTTTTTGAACTCAGTCTGGCTGAGGCTTTATAAACTCAGTCGGGCCGAGCTCTTCATGCTCAGTTTATGAGGCTTTTTAAACTTAGTTAGGCTGAGGGCTTCATGCTCAGTTTATGAGGCTTTCTAAACTCAGTGTGGTTGAGGTCTTCATGCTCAGTTCAGTTGAGGCTTAGATGCTCAGTTTGGCTGAGGCTTCATAAACTCGGTCTGGCCGAGGTCTTCATGGTCTAGTCTTCATGAACTCCTGCCAAGGTTAGCTTATACATTGCCTTGTAAGGATAAAATATAATGAGTGATCGGAATTAAACGAGTGATGAAGATGACTGATCGAAAAGGTGGTCGATCGTCGAGGTAACCGACTGTTAAGGCGACTGATCATCAAGGTCTTGCCAAGGTTAGCTTATGCATTGCATTGTAAGGGTAAAATATAACGAGTGAACGGAATTAAATGAGTGATCAAGGTGACTGACCGTCAAGGTGGTTGACCGTAGAGGTAGCTGACCGTTGAGGCGACCCACCGTCAAGGTCTCGCCAAGGTCAGTGCTTCAAATGCTCAGTATTCCATGAATAAGGGAGATCTCTGCTCTTCATATCTTGTAGACGATAAGTGCCTGGACGTGGTCTGGACGTGACAATATGGCCTTTCCCATTTAGCTGCTAACTTGCCTTTAGCTAGGTCTTTGGTTGAGTTGCGAACCTTAAGGAGGGATAAGTAAGCAATTCAGGTTTGGTGGAGGTGCTCGCGAGGTGAGTGGTGGAAGAAGTGATCCTTATTGTTGCTGAGGACGATTGTCCTGGACTTGATCTTGATTTTGATGGATGTTTTGTAGAGGCGGAGGGGTAGAAACTGGTAGTTCTCGTTGGAATAGGGCTTGGTTTTGCTCAATCAAGTGGTTAGTGTTGTTGGTGTTCTCCATGAAGTATGGAGATGTTGGAGGGCTCGACTGAGGCCCTCCTTCTAGCACCTTGGAGGGCTTGGCTTGGAGGTTTTCGTGAAGTATGGAGGTGGATTATTTGGGTTGGAGGGCTAGGCTGAGGCCCTTCTTCTTGCACCTTCGAGGGCTCAGCAAGGAGTTCTCCACGAAGTATGGAGATAGATTATTCGGGTTGGAGGGCCTTTCTTCTAGCACCTTGGAGGGCTCAGCTTGGTGTTTTCCGTGAAGTATGGAAGTAGATTATTTGGGTTGTAGGGCTCGGTTGAAGCACTTCCTCTTGTGCCTTGGAGGGCTTGGCTTGGTGTTCTCCACAAAGTGTGGAGATGCATTATTCGAGTTGGAGGGCCTTTCTTCTAGCTCCTTAGAGCGCTCGGCTTAGCACCTTAGAGGGCTCGGCTAGGTGTTTTCTGTGAAGTATGGTGGTGGATTATTTGGGTTGGAGGGCTCGACTGAGGCCGTTCTTGTTGTGGCTTAGAAAACTCGGCTTGGTGTTCTTTGCAAAGTATGGAGATGGATTATTCGGGTTGGAGGGCCTTTCTTCTAGTGCCTTGGAGGGCTCGGCTTGGTGTTCTTCGCCGCGGCGATTGACCGTCGAGATGTTAAATATGTTACTCTTGAAATCCTTCCAAGGTCATTGTAGACACCCCATTTTTGACCGACCTTAAGACTCAGACGTCACCGATTGAGCGCTTGGTGATGTTGCATAATGTGCTTGTTCAGAAGTTTCAGAGTTGCGGCCGTGAGCCCTGCCTCCGGACTTCCGAACCCTCTTCTGTGCCTTGTCTCGGTTTGCGAACCAGACGTGTGCTAATGTGTACTGTGTGTTCGCAACTAATTAATGAGCCGAGTGTTCAGAAATTCGAGTGTTGAAACTACATGTTCAGGATGCAAGCAAAGTACTATGTCATAAGCTAAACTGCATGTTCAAGCATGGCAAAGGTGCGAAATGTACGAAAAATACAGAAAATGAAGTAAATACCTCTCGGGCCTCATGAGAGAGGTGATGC